TTTACAAAGCGCTTCAGAATTAAACAGATTGGAGAGTTCTATGGAGCCACAGAATGCAACTGTAGCATTGCAAATTTGGATGGAAAGGTAAGGAAATAAGTGATTATAGTGGAAAGCTAGGTAAAAGTACAGAGAAATGAAAAAATAAAAAAAAAAAATTCTGCTTGCTTTGCTTACTGCTCTGCACGTTCCATCCTAGTCTTCTTGCAAGGGATGACAGAACTAAATTGGTGATTAAAGGAGTCATACAAAAAAAACATGGGATAAATCTTGTATTTGGGGTAAACTTGCTTGTTTCCTGTTAAATGGAGGGGGAAGAACGATCAAGAGACTTCCCAGAAAGTGGCAATATAGAAACTTAGCAGTTTACTCAGCGTTTTGTTTTCTTCTACCTTTTGGAAGGTTGGTGCCTGTGGTTTCAACAGTCGGATTTTGCCCAATGTTTATCCTATTCGTCTGGTGAAGGTCAACGAGGACACAATGGAGCTGATCCGTGATTCTAGGGGACTGTGTATCTCCTGTCGCCCAGGTGAATGTTAATCTCAACAAATGAATAAAGCTTTATTCTTTAAAAAAAAAAAAAAAAAGAAAAAGAAAATCTAATGAGCTCTAATTGGTTTAAGTGGTTTCTAGTGTAGTACACAGACTTCTAGATCTTTCCTTCAAAGATACCTCAGTTCAGCAGCTGAGGTTCTTTGATATACAGCAACCGCATATTGATGTTTACAAAGTTTGGCCCGTTGTGAAATATACCATCGGTTGTTGTCATCTTGTGGTGTCTGGCCCTGTTTTCTGTAGGAGAGCCGGGATTACTGGTAGGTCAGATAAATCAACAGGATCCCCTCCGTCGATTTGATGGCTACGTCAGTGAGAGCGCCACCAACAAGAAGATAGCTTACAACGTGTTTGAAAAAGGGGACCAGGCATACCTTTCAGGTACTATCAGCGTGAGCACTGGAATGACCAGTACTGATTGCAAACATTCTTTGGCATTGTTCATAAGATGGTCTTAAGAGCTTCTGAATTTTAATTGATAAAATTCTAAAGGCTCTAAATTTTTTTTGAGAATAGTGAGATTTTTCTTTTGAGAGAGAGACTTGTGAGAGTTTAGAAGTTGCCAGCTTTTGAGCTGTTCCGGATTTAGTGAGAAATGTCTAAATTTCAGGGAGAATACGTGT